CCTCTCTTCTCCCCTTTCCCCTCTTTCCTCTCCCCTTTCTCCTTTCCTTTCCTTTCCTTTCTATTTTTAGGTAATCTCTACACCAGCATGGGGTTCAGACTCACAACCCCAAGATCAAGAGTCACATGCTCTATCGACTGAGCCAGCCAGGCACCCCTTCCCCTTGCTTTTAGATTGTGGGTCAAAGACTAGACCCCTTGCTGGTATGTTACTCTTGTGCTTGGTAAATACCTTGCACACAATTAGGCACTCTGTCACCACTCCTTGCTTTTTCCAAGGAACCCAGCTCTTTCCCAGGAGAGTAGATTTCCCTGTCTCGGAGTCCCGTGTTGCTGATGTACACGTGCAGGCTGGACTTACAGTCAGTCCAGCAGGTGCTGGTCTTAGAGACAGGCATGAAAGGAGGGGCCTAATGAGATGCACAGAGGGGTCTGGGCAAAAGCAGACTTCTTGAAACCTTTTGGTGGTGCCATTTGTGGAAGAGAAGGAGGTTTGAGGATTTGTAACGGGACGGGTACATTCCGAAGTAGAAGTGCTTCTTAAACAAATTAGACCTCCCTTACATGAACAAAGTAAACAGCTCTTGGATGGTTCAACAGCTCATGGTGAGATGACTGAAGCGAATCCCTTTCAGCTGGTACCATACAACATTTCAGTGAAGGTGTGTGTGGCTGCCCAGAGATCAGCCTTCTTACAGCCTAAGAACCCAGGGTCCGGGCTTTTCTGAACAAACGCAGGGGCTGCCTGAATCCTAGGCAGGAGCGGGCACCGGCACCCGAGTCGGGAATGATTGCATTCAGAATCTGAGTGTTTCAGGTCGATGAATTCCTGGTTCCTTTTCCCAGACAGAGGTCTCTCATACTTTAGGAACATAAACCGAAGTCTCGCCATCCATAAACCGAAGGAATGTGATTTGGTCGGGCGATATTGATCTTAACTGAGCACCCGAAGTTTTAAGAGAACAGATGACTTGGCAGCTGGGATGCCGTCACCCGCCATCAGAGAGATGAACTGGAAAAGATTCTGGAGCTTTGGCAAACTTGAATAACATTGTATTTCGATATATGTATATGTAAAGATTAGCTCACACATTTAGTTATAAAATATGTCATAAATGAGGAAGATAAGCTAACACTGCAGATGGTGGAGACATTTAAAAGGGCCTTACGTTCAAGTGTTCGGTCTTCTGTCACAAAGGTTTTCATTTTCACATGTTCAGGTACAGTTTCTCCTTGGGTTCCCATCCTGATTAGTGTAATCCTTTCTGGCTCTGTCATGTCAGTGATCTTGTGATTGTGGTTGAGTCCTTGTATACTCACTCCTTGACCCTCCACTGGATGTAAAAGGAAGGGGAAGGGATCGGGTCACTGCCACCTTTCTAGGTAGAGACACCTGCTCTGGGGACAAACCACGGAGGGGACTTCTGTTTGATATTTGAGGAGCCTGTTCTGATTGAGATGTTTTCCTGATGTCTTGTCCAACCAAGGGCTTCTGAGATACTTCTTCCCTAGGGCCCGGCCGTCCTGACTGGGTCTCTGTGCGAGTCTCTGTCTACCCCTCCTCACTGTCTCTCTGTACTCTCCTTCTCACCCTCCCCCTCCCCAACCAGGCCAGCTGAGCTGCATTGCCTTTCCAGCTAAGGAAGAGAAGTACCTCCAGCAGATTGTGGACTGCCTGCCCTGCATCTTGATCCTCGGCCAGGACTGTAATGTCAAGTGTCAGCTGTTGAACCTGCTGCTGGGGGTGCGGGTGCTTCCCGCCAGGCTGGGCAGCGAGGAGAACTGTAAGCTTCGGCGCCTCCACTTCACCTATGGGACTCAGACTCGGGTCAGCCTGGCACTCCCGGGCCAGTACGAACTAGTGCACACGCTGGTTGCTCACCAGGGCAACTGGGAGACCATCCCCGAGGAGGACCTGGAAGTCCAAGAGGACGGTGAGGACGCTGCCCATGTTTTAGCCGAACTGGAGGTGACGATGCACCATGCCCTCTTACAGGTACCCGTCTCGTATTCCTTCAGTTGCGCGCGCGCGCACACACACACACACACACACACACACACACACACACACACACCCCGGCTTTTCCTGTAGTTGAGCTCTCTCAGAAAGTAGTTTGGCCCTCTATAGTCTGGGCTCTGAGCATCAGCCAATAGAGCACATAACCTGGGAAGTTGAAAGCCAAGGCCACAGCAGTGCCCACCCCTGCCTCTGCTACCCTGCTGCAAGCCGCTGCACAATGTACTTATCTCCTTGCCTCCCTGTCTCCTTTTCTGCCACAGAAGGAATGGGCTACTTGCACCTCAGTCTTTCACAGAATAACCATGGTCAGGGCTAGAAATCCTTTTTCATTTCTCAGCTGCAAGGTGTTGCTAGAATCCCTTTCTAAAAGGAACGATAAGGTAATAGATTATTAACGCTCTTATTAGAGCCGAGGCCAAGTGAAGAATCTTGTGAGTTTTTCCGTAGACCTGGCCATTATGTACTAAGTGGGACAGGCCACGTCTCCTACTTTCTAAGGAACTCGGGAACCCAAGAGCAGGTCTGGCTCAGTGTAAGGAGATATGGAGATCCCATCATCTGAAGAACATCTTTGCTTCTCTTTTGAAGTGAACTCCCGAGAGAGAGCTACACCTCTTGCAGCATCTTCCAACAGATCATATTGACTATCTGGTATTCCTGTCTCCACTTAGGAAGGACTCAGCTCTTGTGCTGGCTTCCTCTGCTACCCTATTGCTAGGACTGGGCTGACTGATTGATTAGACAGAGTGAGGCTCGGCAAAGGTGACTCTGTCAGGGGTCAGGAGTGGGTAAGATTAAAAGAATGCAGACCTGCTCAGAACAGAGAGTCTCTTCACATTGGTCAGCTGTGCCGGAAAGGAAAGGCTAGTCTAGCAGGACTAGGAAATTTGCTGCTTCTTTCTCGTAGCCTCCTTACCTACCCCTGTTCTAAAACGCCTGATCTTCTAGTCAATGAATGAGTCCTTTGGTTGTGACTATGGCCTCTGAGACTCCAGAAGTAGAAAGTGTCATCTCATTTCCTTCCAGAGACCAGATTTCTTTTATCTTGATAAATGCTAGAGGGGCTGCGTGCACAAGCCAGCGTTTTCTCTGAGCTGAGTTTCGGCAGCGGCTTTCCTCTGTTTTCACACGGAGAGCTCGCGCTCCTTAGCTCCAGGGTTGCCAAGAGGGTTCTTGGAGGACCCTGATGGTAGCTCTGACGTAATCCTTGTTTATTGACCGAGGCTGCTCAGTTGACCCGCGAACCTTCTTCACGGTTCACGAATACTTGAGCCATACACAGTCTTTCTGTGATATACTGGCCTGGTCTGGTTCTTTCAGGTTCCAGTGGCTCAGTGGTTTTCAGACTTTCTCAGAATTTCTTAGAATCTCATTCACTGGGGTCACCTGGCTGGCTCAGTCAATAGAGGATGCTACTCTTGATCTTAGGGTTGTGAGTTTGAGCCTCACATTGAGTGTAGACATTACTTAAAATATACGTGAAGGATTTCATTCACCATAAGAAATAACATTTTAGGGGCACCTGGGTGGTTCAGTCAGTTGGGTGTCCGACTTCGGCTCAGGTCATGATCTCGTGGTTCGTGGGTTCCAGCCCCGCATCTGGCTCTGTGCTGACAGATCAGAGCCTGCAGCCTGCTTCGGATTCTGTCTCCAGCTCTCTCCCCAGCTTGTGCTCTGTCTCTCTGTCTCTAAAATAAATAAACATTAAAAAAAATAATAAAAAAAAGAAATAACATTTTATATCAAGACCTAGTACATATATATGTGTGTGTGTGTGTGTGTGTATATATATGTATACACGTATACATATTGACATAAAATTTCATGAAAGAATACTTTTACTTTTTGCAAAACACACTGTTATCTTCTCCTCTATTTGATTTCATCTAGCAAAAATGATGACAGAAACCTACTAAACTTGATGTTGTGAGGTGCTACATTATGACCTGCAGCTTAAAAAATACCGTTAGATGGCTGGTGTAACTGCTGTCGGCTGGGCCCTGATTCTCTTCCTGTTCTTGTCTTTTATTTTTATTTATTTTTTTAATGTTTATTTTTGAGAGAGAGAGAGAGAGTGAGCAGGGGAGGGGCAGAGGGAGAGGGAGACACAGAATCCGAAGCAGGTTCCAGGCTCTGAGCTGTCAGCACAAAGCCAGATGTGGGGCTCAACTCACAAACCCTTGAGATCATGACCTGAGCTGAAGTCGGACGCTTAACCGACTGAGCCACCCAGGCGCCCCCCTGTTCTTGCCTTTTAAAAAACAATCTGGGAATGTGAGCAAAGCCATGTGCGGGAGAGGCACGTTCTTTGATTGATTTCTCTGGATCCCTTCATCTTATTGGCTTTAATTTTTAATGCTCATTTACTTTTGTGCCATGAATTGAAGTACTTCAAGCGAGCCCCGGACAGGAAAGTGAGAGCTGTTCCCCAGGTGCACGTCTGAGCACTCATCTTCCTGAGAAGAGCCCCCCTTGCCCGCCCCCAAGGTGTGCTGAGAACCCAACTGAGGTACCGGCAGAGGAGGCCACTTGGTTGGGAAGTTGAGCCACCAAATCAGCTTCTCTCTCTGCACGACAGAAATACGGATTTTCTTTCTTGAGGAATATTCTTCACCAGTCTTGAGGAACTCTCTAGGCTCTTGTGCTCTGTTTCATGTGGTTTGTGAGGCTTCCTTAGCCAGTGTTTCTCTGGATCTGCTTTCGTCTCCAGTGGTTTTGATGTAGAAATAGCAACGGACCCCAACGGTTCTAAGTTTGGAACCCCTTGATGCTGTGCCTCAGAGAAGCCTTAGTTGCCTTTGTGGAGCTCTGGCCTGCTCCGCCGCTGTGGTCGGGTTCCTGTCTTTGTTAAATTCACGGGCCTCAGTGCCGGGAGCTTGCTGCCGGGAGCAGTTCACAGCCACCTTGAAGATTTTTGTGCCAGTGAAAAAGATTTTTTTTTTTGTTTAGCTCCGGTTATTTTTGGGACCAGTGAGTTAGCTCTAAACAGCCCTTCCATTTGGTTTGCAGAGGGTGATAAAGAAAGGAAACACTTAGCTCAAGGAAACCAAGATTGAATTAGGGGAAATGAGATGTTCATTTTCAACTGTCAAATTATCAAAGCAGAATTTCCCCCTACCCTTGTATACAATGGTCATTCTTCTAGTATGGTACTTTAAAGCTCTCATAAATTAGCCGTTTTTAGTTTGTTCCAGAATATGCTGACCCACACGGCCCCTTAGTGTTTGGTATTCCCAGCTTTGTAGCTCTGGGTCCCCTGAGATTCCCAGTTCATAATTCAGCAGCAGAGGAACAGAGTCAAGCCGTTAGTTTCTGTAACCTCGTTTAGTGTTAAAACATAGTCCTTTCCAGTTGGCGACATATTTCACCCTTCACCACGCTCACTGGATCTGTCTCCACGTACAGACTCCCCTTCCCCCCCCTTCCCCCCTCTCTGGCACGTATACTACCACCTTCTCTTACAAGTCCAGTGGAACATGGGTGTTTGCTTCAGAGTTTCCTCAGTCTGGAGTGTGTGTGTGTGTATTTTTCCTGTGAACACCTATGAGAAAAGGAGTAGAAAGGAGCTGAAATGATTCAACTTTCTGAGTCTGAGCCGGGACTCCTGCAGCCTGGCTGTGGCGTTTCACATACGGTGGCACTTACAGACTGACAGTTATTCTGCTGGCCTGTGTGTCCCCACCCTTTGGATGAATGTACATGTCACCTGGCAGCCAGACTGCCACACGCTGACATGGCCATTGGCTCAGGGTGATGTCTGGTAGGGTATCTTTCAGGGAACTGAGGTAGACTAATGTTTCTAGGCAAGCTCTAATGAGTTGCAAGTAGACCTTTTTTTTTTTTTCTCACTACTGTTTAACCAGTTGGAGTCATAAAGTTTTCTCTTTATAACCCTCAGCCAGAAGCTAGCAATGGGCATAATCTATTAAAAAAAATTTTTTTTAGGGGCGCCTGGGTGGCGCAGTCGGTTAAGCGTCCTACTTCAGCCAGGGCACGATCTCGCGGTCCGTGAGTTCGAGCCCCGCGTCAGGCTCTGGGCTGATGGCTCAGAGCCTGGAGCCTGTTTCCGATTCTGTGTCTCCCTCTCTCTCTGCCCCTTGCCCGTTCATGCTCTGTCTCTCTCTGTCCCAAAATAAATAAAAACGTTGAAAAAAAAATTAAAAAAAAAAATTTTTTTTTTAATGTGTATTTATTTTTGAGAGAGAGTGTGTGAGCAGGGGAGGGACAGAGAGAGAGAGAGAGAGACATGGAATCTGAAGCAGGCTCCAGGCTCCTAGCAAAATTTTAACGTCGAAATTTACGAAACAGTGTTGCTGGAAAATCAGCTTCTCTCAAATTTTTGTCTAGTCATTGGCGTTTATGATGGTGCCTTATAAGACTCAACTTGTTGTGTGTTGCTTCCCTTTGGTTAGACACCATATCTTCTCCTGAATGTCTTTAGATGGAAAACTAGCAGTGAATTGGTATAAAGTCACAAAGAAAGCCGGGTGAAGGTCCTGAGGGCAAGAAGATACCTTTTAGGACTAGGAGATAGTATGTGGAATTAGGTTAAAAAATGGCCATTCCAAGGCAAAAGACCCAAAGTTGGGGTTACTGTGTATGAGGGGGAGAATGATACTCTAGAGAGAGAATTACAGTAAGGAAACCATGATTTTATGGGGCAAAGAGAAAGGAGAACTACAGTGTCATGTTAATAAAGGGTATCGGAGGTTCAGGCAGATGCGAAAGTATAAACTCCTTCCAGACTGTGAGCCTGTAGTCGTCCTATTTAGCTTGTCGCGTGCCTTTCCCCTACACACGCTGACATATGTAGTGGGCCGTAGCCATCCAACACGTGTGGCTCTCAGCCAAGAGACCCACAGACACCTACTGCAGGTTAACTTACCTGGTAAGGGTATGGGTGGTTTAGAGGCAGGTTGGCTATTTGTGTTTTTGGGGGGTTTTTTCCATGCTCTTGAAAAAGGAAAAAGAACGGC